GGGGCCGGCGGAGGGGAGGGCAGCCGAGAGGGGGGCGGAGGGTGCTGGGGCGACGGAGAGGGGGGCGGCGGGAAGGGGGGCGGCAGCGAGGGAGGCGGCGGCAGGGGAGGCGGCGGCGCGGGGGCCGGCAGAGGGGCGGGCGGCAGAGCGGGGGGGGCGGGCGGGGGGACGGGTGGCCGAGCGGGGGGCCGCGGAGATGGAGGCGACGGGGGGGAGGACGGCGGGGGCGGCGGCGGCGGAGGGGAGGATGGCGGGAGGAAGGGCATCGGAGGTGGAGGCGTCGGAGAGGGGGGCGGCGAACGGGAAGGCGGCGGAGAGGGGGGCGGCAGGGGGGGAGGCGGCGGCGGGGGGGTGGCGGAGGAAGGAAGAGTGAAGGGGGGGGGACACCACCATATAGATGGAATTACGTGTCCCCAAAGGTAGGACCTGCGTCCTGCACAAAGCAAGAAAGAAGTGAGCCCCCGATTCCTGAAGCAGGGCAGAAATAAATAAAGGTTAGGGACGTCTCGGGCAGTTATCGCCGCGTTGAATCCCTCCGTCTGCAGAAACGATCTCCCACCGGTTATAATAACCGGCGGCAATCGATAGTCAAAGTTGGGCGCCGGAAAGCGATCGAGCGCCCGCCCATGCACTCCGCTTGTTGTGCAGCACCCGCGGCGCGCGCGCGCCGCGGTGTTGACCAACGACCGCGCCGCTGGAGGCTCCCACGCCACTCGCGGCAATCCGCATCGAGGCCGCCCGTCGGCGCAGCAAAGGTACTGCGCACTTCTGGGCAGCGCCCAGAATGCAGGGAAGGCCTTGGCGCTTCTCGCCAGCCAGGCTGACTCGGCAACCGGCACGCGAGCCGACTGCGCGTCCCGAGCCCACGGATCGGCGCCATCGCACAGGCCCGCCAGCCGCCGCATAGCTCCAGAGAGGCAGCTGGCGTTGCGCTGCACTGCTTGAAGGCGCTGCTGAGGCGCTGCACTGCTCAAAGCTGCCCCGTGCGCCGTCGCGAGCACCGCGTAGTGGTCTCGGCCTCTGGAGAGCCCCAGTACGACCCCTCGCGGCCACTCGCGCCGTTGCAGCAGCTCCGACCCCGCCACTCCGGCTCCCGAGCGCGCGGCGAGCACGAGGAAGAGCATGCGCATGGGCCAAAATCCGTTACTCGAAGAGCTCTCCTCTTTCAACCTTTTTTTTATTTTCCAAAAATCGACGCTGGCTGGTACACACACACCGTCTGCGTCGTCCATCCCCTGATCCTGTCGAGCGATGGCCGAGCCGCGGCGCTCGTCAAATTTTGGGCGCGTGGACGCGCTCCGCTGGTGGCTCAAGCTCTCTCACGCCGCCGCGCCCGCCTGCCCGGGCACGTGCTTCCAAACGCAGCGCTCCAAGCGCAAGCAGCACGAGGTGGACATGGCTGACAGCCTCGAGGTGAGAGCGCGCGCCCGTGCCGCTTTCGGCCGTACCACTGGCGCCCGCTCACCCTCCTCCTCCGCGCGCGCCAGGTGGCCGTCGCGCGCGTGACCGCGTGGGCGGCGGAGGAGCGGACGCGCCTCCAGCCTGTCCAGCCGCACCGCGCCGACCAGTTCGCCAAAATCCTGGCCGAGCTGCCGCAGTACGCGTCGAACGAGTGGGACGCCTTCAACGAGAGGGCGCTCCTGCCGCTGCTGCGCCGCCTCAAGGAGGGCAGCATCGGCCGCAAGCCGCGCGAGCCAGACGCCACCGGACTGCGGAGGGAGGTGAGCGGCGCATCTGCCGCCGCGCTGCAGGGCCACGTGCGGCGGCTGGTCGATGCGCTGCGCGGGCTGCACGACGACGCGCCGCGGCTGTGCGCGGAGCTGCCCTCGCGCGCGACTCGCGTCGCCAAGCTGCTGCAGAAGCAATGTGGCGAGCTGCAAAAACTGCTCGACCTACCCGTCGGCAGCGGGCTGGCCGCGGCCGCCTCCGCCGGCTCCTCCTCCGCCTGGACGGGCGAGTCCCCCTCCTCGGGCCTCGGCCTGGGCGCGCTCGAGCGCGCGGCCAGCCTCGACATGGCCGGCGGAGAGAGGATCGAGGGCGAGCAACTTCTCTCGATGTTGCCGCCGTCTGCGTCGCAAGAGGCGGACAGCGGCGAGGAGGAGGAGGGCGGGGTGGAGGAGGAGGAGCTTCCCTCCGCCTCGCAGACCTCGATGGTCGGCCACCTCCAGGAGATGGACGCCGGGGCGGCGGCCGGCTTGTGGGACTCGCAGGCGCCGCAACACGCACACGCCTCCGGACATCCCTCACCCACCCTCCCGGGCCTCACTCCCCCCCCCCCCCCCGTCCCGCCCCACCGCTGCCTCCCCGCCCCCCGCCCCGCGGCAGGAGATGGTGCTCGACGCGCCCCCCTCCCCCGAGCACGACGGCGGCACAGCTGGCTCCTCTGCGCTCGACCCTCTTCCGCACGCGGCAAACAACAGCTTCGCCGCTGCCGTCGCAGCAAAGGTGCAGAGCAGAGTCGCGGCGCCGCCCGGCGCGACGCAGAGCAGCTGCGGCGCAGCGGCGCCGCCCCCACCAACGCAGAGTGGAGGCACGGCGCCAGAGCCCGCAGCGGGTGGTGTGCACGGGGCGACGGCGCTTGCACCGGCGCCCGCGCCTGCGGCCGCGCCCGCGCCTGCTGCGGCGGCGCCCGCGCCCGCTGCCGTGCGGCGCATCTCTGCCCCTCCTCCGCCGCGTATCGAGGGGTCGCTGCTGTCCAAGCGAGGCGGCGCGGCGCCATCGGCGAACCCCGCCAAGCTGCACCAGCTCCACCTCCACCATGGCAACGCCGCCGCGGTGACGCCGCAGTCCAAGCGCGAGGGTACGCTCGTCGACGCGCCGCGCCGCACAGCCGCGCAGGCGCAGGCGCAGGCAGCCGCTCCTCCGCTGTACAGGGCACTCGAAGGCCGCGGCGCCGCGCCTCCGCCACCTTCGCCCCGCAAGGAGGCGCGCGCGCAGCGATCTCCCGCCGCGCCGCCAAGCCCCGCACGCGCGCTCGCCCCCACCCCCCCCCTTAAAAAACAATTTGCACTTCTATATTACCTTTTACAACACCTTCTCCACCAAAAAACTCACCAACAATCACTAACTTTTTAAAAAACTAACTTTAATCTAATAAACAACAATTTCTCATTATCACTTCAACTTTTTAAATAACAAATTTCATAACCTCTTTTATACTCTAAACAAAATATTCAATTTT